ATTCTGTTTCGTAGTGCCTTAGTAATAGTTTCTATGTGACTAGAACTGACAGACGACTTGGCTTTAGGGTCTCTTAACTCCTTACTATTCTCTAAAAATTCAAGACCACATATCCTTTGTACCCATTTGTAGGGATGACCAACTTCTGTGATGTATGCACCAAATGTATCCATTCTGGGAAAAAAAAAAAAAAAAAAAAAGCAAACCATTGGCAACTATATATAGTTACAGTGTACTCCTTTCAATACTGACTAAAGTCAGAAAAGTAAAGGAAGCTAATGCATTTGTGTGCTGAAGATAATGATGGGAATTGCAATATGGAAATAAAATATACCCTCCTAAACAAATGCTTTTTAAAAATCATATTTTTACACTTTTGAGATTTGATTAAAATTGCAGAAATCCTAATTGCAGTAAAATATGTGCGTTACAAAATCTATGTTACTAGTGACCAGCTATGAACAAAATTAGCTGAGACATAGTGAGAAGATGCCAGTAGAGTGAGACTTAGCCCCAGACTATTTCATCTAATTGAGTACTTAATAAAACCATTTACTAAAAAAGTGAAGCATTCAAATACTAGAAATAGAAGATGCTGGTTCAGGTTATCTCCTTAGAAAACTTACCCAAGCTTGCTCAACTGGAAATGATTGGCTGGATTGGGAGTGTCGTTACCATAGTCACCAGGGAAAAGACAAGACAACAAGCTGTTTGGAGACAGTAAGTCTCTACAATGTAAAGAATATCATCTGGAATTAGTACAATTCAGAGGAGCTAATTTGACAAACTTAGTGCTTAGGTCAAGATAGTGTTTTGGTCAACATAGTGTTCAGATCAACATAGTGTTTCGGTCAACATGGTGTTTAGGTCAACATGGTTTGTAGGTCAACATGGTTTGTAGGTCAACATAGTGTTTAGATCAACATGGTGTTTAGATCAACATGGTGTTTAGATCAACATGGTGTTTCGGTCAACATGGTGTTTCGGTCAACATGGTGTTTCAGTCAACATGGTGTTTCGGTCAACATGGTGTTTCGGTCAACATGGTGTTTCGGTCAACATGGTGTTTAGGTCAACATAGTGTTTAGATCAACATAGCGTTAAGGTCAACATAATGTTCAGATCAACAGTGTTTAGATCAACATAGTGTTTAGGTCAACATAATGTTTAGATCAACATAATGTTTAGATCAACAGTATTAAGATCAACATAGTGTTTAGGTCAATATAGTGTTTAGGTCAACATAGTGTGTTTAGGTCAACATAGTGTTTAGGTCAACATAGTGTGTTTAGGTCAACATAGTGTTTATCAACACATAGTTATCAATGTAGTTATCAATAGTCTAGGTCAATGTAGTGTCTACGTAAACATAGTGTTTACATAAACAGTGTCTCTGTCAATGTAGTGTTTACATCAAAATAAATATACAAGAAAAACAACATAAATGAAAACATATTAATGTATAATTGCATACTTTGTTTTTAATATTGTTAAAACGCAATAAATTGGTCATTTACTGAGTTCACGTCAAGAGTCATCTTTCAAATCTCCCTCTGTTGAGTACCAATAGCATAATTTACAACTTACCCTGCACTAAATGTGGTGATTACAGAGTCCATAGCGGGTGTCAATTGCACACCCACTGTAACTATTTGTAAAACTGATAAGTAACTAAAACACAAACTAAGAACTGATCCATCTGCAAAGAAAGACAGTTAGGTGGAGTTAGTATGTTTAGAAAGTATTTATAACTGCTGAACAGTCTACCAATCATCAAATATGAATGAAAACGGTCATTGGAACTGTAGTAGTTTCTGTTGTGCATTTTTCTTAAATTTTCAAAAACTAATTTTACTGGTCCATGAAGTACATTAGAAAGGTTAACAGGATGAAAACACATAAATGGGGCAACCGAAAACACAAACATGACATGCATCTTGCAGTGTCTGTAGAGATATTTCAACACTGCCACAATTACCATAGGAATGACATTCATACCTTCACATTTGATCTTTAATACAACTGCTAAGGGATGCTTTCTAAGAACTCTTTTTCGCTTCTCTGTTAAGAGGTCAACAGTTTTACGCCGCCTTCTTTTCTGTTGAACAAATATAACAGAATGATTTACATGTACAATTTCAAATGTTGCATATGTTGAATATTAGTAAATTTCTTTAATTGCATGACATGTCAATTAGACAGTGTGAATACTAGTAACAAGTATATTATCAATACCTGAGATTTATAAGATGATGATATGCAAGGATGTGATTGGCAATAAAGATCACAAGCAAATTTAGGCAGAGAGTTCTCGGAACCCGCCTATTCACATAGCTCATACCCACCATCATTGGCTGAATCGCAGATTAATGCCTACAGCTCAAAATAGTCATTTTGACTGACCGGAGTCTATGGTGGGTAATTGAACGTAGTGAATTTATGCGCAAGTGATGTGAATTGCAATATGATACAATTTCACAAGTAAAACCTACATTTCTAGAAATCCAAATGCAAATAAGTGAGTTAACGGAAAAACTTTTGGTAGTGTCCTTCCTCATTCACAAAGCACGTATACATGTGTTTTATTATTTTGAATGTGGCAAATTATACTCTCGTTCATTTTTGTGTAAGCAATCAAACGTTTCCAAGCACCCACTGAGTTCTGTGACGCTATTGGTTGGAACTATGTCTGATTAATGCATGCAAAATTAGAACACTTTTAAAGGCTGGGTATGAAAGTTGCATACCATTTTATAAATCTATGTCATACATTTACTTTCAAAAAAAAATGAGGGCACTAATATAATATTAGAAAATTTATACAGATAGACTGTTTGATGTTAGTATAACTTACTGATTCAGTAATTGCCTCATCATCTGAATCACTGTCATCTTCCACAGCACTACTATTGCCGTCATCTTGTAATGTTGTATCTATATCACCTACAATACTCACTGTCAAATCAGCATCTGGAATACACAACAAATTTTTCAACGGAAAAATAACTGAAACATTAAGAAATTACATCACCATAATGCTGATTTTTCTAGATTTTTGTGCCTATCCTTGTGGGATGGTGGGAATGGTGAAATTCTTTAAAGCAACATAATATAACCGAATACAATTATGTTATATACATGTACAATGTAATTCATTGTACTGGTATCATGCAGCCAAACAAAATTGGATTATGGTAAAAATTCACTTGCTGCTGTGCATTTTTGAGCAATAAAGCAAATACTAGAATTTTAGCACTCAAAATCTAAGTCGGCCATTTAAAAAAAAAAATGGATTAATAAAATGCTGTGCCACAGAATAGGTCAATCAAGGGGAGAAAAGTGAAAGCACTAACATTACCGGTACATACTAAAGGTTTTCACACTAAAATATCACACAGCTGTATAATCATTTTACTATTTAGTAAAAATTTCTCATGTTCTTTCAGTTGATATTACAGTGTCACATACAGTGAACTCATTGCCTCATAATTGGCATGTCGATCCATGAATGGTATGGTATCTTGACATGCCTAAATAAAGTCCATTACGATATGTTTTGTCTTTGTACACGTCTACATGTAATTGGGGCATGTACATATACATTACAAGTATATTTTTGTGAAAGTTCATGGAAACTAAAATCTGACAATCAATTTTCCACTTACCACACGCCTCATGATAAGCATTAGCTTGGACATATAATATGTATAGTGGTCTTGTTAAATGCCTGGCAGTCTTGTGCTGTAACCTGATTGCTTCAAATGGCATAGACAACATTTGTAAGGGAACTGTAGCCTGTGGACAAAACATAAAGATCAGGGATCAAATCATACCATTATAAAATGAAGCATAATTACATAAATCATCTACTACATACATGTACATGATATTTAAATCTGTGAATGTACCTCTAACAGAGAAATATTTATTTGACAATGAAGAGATAGGAATGCAGAACTCAAAATTAGCAGTCTATCGAATTTTGTTCTGAGCCACTATTTTGCAAAATTAAGTTCAACACAAATTGAGCAAAATAACATATATTTATTTCTATTTCAACTACTTGGCACAGCTGTAAGTACCAACTAAACCAGATTGACTAGTCGATATTACTATGCAACTAACAAGCTCATTGAAACTGGTAGCCCAGGTTAATTTCAAGTCGTAGAAGCTTAGTGAAGCCTTGGGAAGCATTCTCGTTGGGTGTTTGAGATTCCTCCTCAGATGAAAAAGCCTTTTTACTGTTGGTGGTGAAAAGATTCAAACCCATTCAAACTCCATAGTCCTACTTGACCAGCAATCCATTTACAATGTATTTGAAGCAGCAACTATGGATAATTACATAAGAGAGATGTATGATATTCCAGGATGACAGACTTGGTGTAGTTATGAGAGGGCGGTGTGATGTTTTACTTACCTGAAGTACATCATTCAGTTTAGGTTGTAAACTATCCAAATAATCTCTTTTTGTCTGTATCTCTTTAGATATTATATTCTTACTGGTTTCAAGTTCTTTGCATTTCTCAGCCAACCTTGGGGAAAATGTATATATTATCAACCATTTAGAGACGATTTTATGTTCTTGTCTATAATTATTTTGTTAATTTTGAATTGAATGGACAAAATTTACATTTTTAACAGTCTTGAACAAAATATTTGAAAACAAAAGTATTTTGTGAAAGGTGATAAAAGTCGACCTTGATATTCAAAAAAATAATAAAATTCATCCTTTTACCATTGCA